GGCCGAGTGCGGTTCTGGGGACCCATCGCCGGGGGGGGGGGCGCTGGCCTTGGCCGTGCCTTCTGGCCCGGTCCGCCAGCAGACCTTGGTTTGGGGGTGTATCCGGGGGGGCTGCTGTCAGGCACGCAACAGAACTGGGGCGCCCTGCAGCCCAGCTGCGCAGCCTAGCGTGAGCAGGCCCGGCCAGCTGGAAGGTGGGCCGGCGGGGCCCGGGCGCGGCGGGGGTGCCCAGGCGCTCTGTCCCGACCAGGTGGCTACTACCACGGAAAGCTCGTCTTCCCCAGAGAGTTTCCTTTCAAGCCCCCCAGCATCTACATGATCACCCCCAACGGGAGGTTCAAGGTCAACACCAGGTAGGCCTCGCTGCCCGCTGCCCCGCGCCGCCCTGTGTGGGGGTGGCCTGACAGGCTGTCCTTGCAGGCTGTGTCTGTCCATCACGGACTTCCACCCGGACACGTGGAACCCAGCCTGGTCGGTGTCCACCATCCTGACGGGGCTGCTCAGCTTCATGGTGGAGAAGGGCCCCACCCTGGGCAGCATAGAGACCTCGGACTTCACGGTGAGGGCGGTCCGGCGGCCGGGCGGGCGAGCCGCACCGCTGGGCTCTGTTCACTGCCGTCCGGTGGGGTCCTCGGTGTCCCCTGTTGCTGGGCCGGAGGACGGCTGGTTCCCGGGACCTGAAGCGGCCGGGTGGGCTCTGGCTGATGCCCGTGTCCTCCCCCAGAAAAGACAGCTGGCCGCGCAGAGCTTGGCCTTCAACGTGAAAGACAAAGTCTTCTGTGAGTTGTTCCCCGAAGTTGTGGAGGTGAGAAGCGGGGTCGCGATGCCCTGCCGCCCCGCCCTGCTGTCAGGGCAGCCCTGCCGGTCAGTCGGCCCGCCCCGGGGAGCCCAGGCCTGGAGGCGGCGTCTTCTGGGCAGAGCCCAGAGCTTGCAGGCCTGGCCGCACCAGCCTCTTGCCCCCAGGCGGCCACCGAGGTCCTGTGAGTCGGGAGCGGGGGACGGCGCCCCGGTCGGCGGAGCCAGGGTTGGGGTTGCCGGGCCTTGGCGGGGTCTGGCCAGGGGCCGCCTGGCGTGAGGGACACCCTCTTCCGCGCCGCGGAGGGCGGCGGTAGCCGGTGACCGCCTCGTCAGGCTTCCCCGGACGGCCGCTGCGGCGACCGGGCTGACCCCGGCCCCGCCCCCCCAGGAGATCAGGCAGAAGCAGAAGGCGCAGGAGGAGCTCAACAGCCGGCCCCAGCCGCTGCCCCTGCCCGACGTGGTCCCCGACGGGGAGACGCTCCCCGGCCAGCGCGGGCTCCCGCTGCTCAACGGC